AAGCAGCTATTTTAGCTCCCCCAAAACTCTGCCTAACGGAGAATCTTGTGAAGGCAATGGATAATAAAGGCGAATAATATTTATATTTTAAGTCTATTTTTCCAAAATTACGTGAGGCAAAGTTGATAAACGGATTTTTTATCGGTCCACAAATACGCCTGTCTTGCAGTCCAAACTAAATGACAGAATTAAACATGGAAATCGTTAAAAGCTGTGATTACAGGCATGTTAGGATCACAAAGCCAAAAATGCGGAACTATTGGTAAATAAAAAAAAAATGGGTTGCCGGATGTGATAGAAAACTAATTTTCTCTATTCCCTTTTTTCTTTTAAATCATGGAACTGTGAATGACAACAACAGTGGGACTGGTTCCATGAGGATGTAACAAGGCTTGAAGAACAATGTTGCAGTCGTTGGGACAGGGCTGTATTAGGAGATTGCTGCTGGTATTTGAAGCTAGAAGACACTACCCAACATAAAATAAGTTGAATATTTGCCTTTTGAACATAATATGACGCGCAATGAAAATACTTTTTCTCCTTATCCGAAAGCTGCAGCGAAAACAACCAAAATAACACGAAAAACTCGCAAATCAGCTGGATTAACTGACGCACTGACTGAAAAAAATCTTTGGTACTGGAACAGAGCAAGGAAAAGGAAAATAAATTGAAGAAAGGGAAATTAACGAAGTGAGGAAAGGCAAAGTCAAGCACAACAAAGAATAATGAACAAGAAAGTATCAGTAAGAAAAGTCAAACAAACAAAGAAACAAGGAATATTTCCGTAAAGAGGAAGTAATTATATGACACTCACGAAGAATATTAGAATTGGTCACATGTGAAATGCGTAAAGGGAAATATTGCCCAATACGTTAGTTTGAATCGTGAAAGTGATTGTTTAGGCTACGGTGACTGCAGTGCTTTGTTTTCCTATTCTGATTTTTTTTTCAAAGAGCATAGTTTATTTTTGATTATAAGACTTTATTTACGTACTGTTAATTCATACCAAGTATTTATTCAACAAAAAGTTTATAATCTTATTAATGTAGGCCGTCAATGATTGGTCATACGAGGTGTAAGACTGAAAATATGAGACGACTTTGTCAGACTAGTTGTGATTTTGTTTTAAGCTAGAAGGATACTATTATTTTGTTTTGATGAGGCAAAAGACATAATTAAATGTCATTTACACCAAGAAAAGAAAGTGATTATAATACATAATCCTTCTAAAAGATATTATAGCTAAATATTTCGTAGTCCACTGTATCCACAGTCAAATGGGTTGACTGTAAAAGCTGTATCAATACAAAAGAGGAAAAAGGTATAATGTTTCGATATAGCATTGACGGACTATCAAACTCTCCCTTAAAAGGTATGGGCTACAGCCCTTCAGAACTGTCGAATGGAAGACTATGTCTTTGCTGATGCATCAATGCCAAAGCTTTGTAAAACTGTAGAAGAAAGTATGATTGCCAAATGAGTTAAGAATAAAATAAATAGCGCATGACAGAAGCGCAAAGACCTTATTATCCCTAGAACCAAACGGCAATACTTTAGTGTATGATCACGTCAGTGATAGTTGGAGGCCTAACAAAGATCACTACGGCACTTCACGGTCTTACATCATAAAAGATGAGGTAGGGAATGTATACAATTCTAGCTAATTATGAAAACATTAATAGTGAGGTGCCACCACAACAAGTGGCTACAGAATCGCCGGCTCAACAAAAAACATATAAGACTTGATTTATAAGCTTGGGAGTTGAGATGTATCAGAAGATCTCAGCTTGGCAACAGTGGCAACACTGTTGGAAAATGATGTTAGTTGTTTAGATGGAATAGATGGCCACATGTTTTGTTAGAAAACTTCTAGACTTTAAACTAATAAAGTGCTTGTAATAAACTCGAAAGTTTAATTATCATCCTTTACCGGATGATATATCACCTTCAGTTGTTGTAACCTGTCTAGGTATTTATGGGAACGAGATCTGGCAGTCATGTATGGCTTGATAGCGCGACGTAAAACGTAACGATGTGAGCTTAGGGACGCTTGCGACGTTATGGAGAGAGGAGCTATCACGAGTATCAAGCAGTATTCGCTCTTTTAGAATTCATATCCCGTCGAAGGATGTGAAGCAGGGTAGATGAGTCTCCGAAAGGTTTCATTATTTTTCTCTGAGCGCAAATCATTTACTGGCAGATTCAATTAGGAGAGGGATCTTAGATTTTGGGAATATTATGGCCAAGGACCAACGATTCAACGTGGAATTGCCTGAGTGCGTATAACTAATAAAAATCGCATTTTCATGCCTGAGAAAAGTAGAAGAAAAACTGCTGATTCGTAACTTAAGTCCGTGCTCATCTAAGTTATTGCGAGGTTGGAGTCTTGAACTCTTGCGGCAATTAAAATAAGGTTCCCTTATCTATAGTTATTTTCACTAATATTATAAATGTGAAAATGTGTATGTATTTTTGTACGTTCCGTTTTCACGTCCAAATGGCTGAAACGATTTTCTTTTATTGTAAAAATTAGACTTGAACTGGTTGAAATAAGCGATATATGGGGCTAGGTAAACAGGTATGAGTTTAATATGCTCAGCTCTTTGATACAGTATAAACTGGCACTCACAAATATTTATAAAGTTTTCTTTGTCGAACCTTATTATTTTTCAAGCTTATACTAATTTATCTCAAAAACAAATTGACCTAAGAACATAAAATTTGGCAGAGAGGTAGTTATGGACAGGACATGTCAGCTGAGATTTAATTTTGCTACAACGCTTGATCAAGGGGGCTATGGGCAGACATATACTTGTACATTTAAATACGAAAAGATTCTCGCTCATTAGTCACAAAATCGCTAAAACTATTATTTAACCTATGCAAACTAATTTTCTCAGAGAGGTAGCTTACACATGGTCATCCCCTTAAAAATTTGAAGGGACAAGGGGTATCGAGTAATGGCTTATTTGAAAGGTATTTCGAAGTCCTTAATTTCGACGTTTGATTTTTAAAATCGGTCAATTCATTTTCAAGAAAATTAGAAAAATCTTTATCTTAATTTGTTCACAAAGAAAACAAAATATCACTTTTTATTTCAATAAGTGTTCAAAATATCGCCCGTTACTGGCTAATCAATGATATAGGCGATGTTCAAATTCCTGACGGACATTTTCAAAAACATGTGGGATACCATGGCAGCATTCGATGATGCGTTTACGAAGTTTATCCAAACTTTCAGGTTGGGGAGTAAACACAATAGATTTCAAATCACTCCATAGAAAAAAGTCCAATGGCGTCAAATCAGGAGATGTAGCAGGCCATTCTGTAGGCCTTCTTCGCCCTATCCATTTATCTGGAAACTCGTCGCCTAGCCATTGCCGAACCGGAAGAACATAGTGAGGAGGAGCGCCGTCTTGCTGGAAATATATTTCAGCCTCATCAAGTATAGGGTTTCCATCCCCTTCGATTTGGTTTTCAATGGTTTCAGTGATAAGCGGATTGATGGTATTTTCCAACATATTCAAATAAATGTCTCCATTCAAATTTCCATTAATAAACAATGGCCCACTCACTTCGTTTCCTACAATGCCTGCCCATACATGAATTTTTTGGGGGTACTGGGTATGCCCTTCTACAAAATGTATTTATTAACAAATCCATTTAGATAAATTGTACAGTCATCATTGAAGCAGATATTCTTTACATGAATGGTATTATCATTAACTAGTGATGTTGTCCGTTAGTTGCATTTTCAGCTACTGCTATGTTTTATATTACGAAGATCAATCCCAGGTTAAGTGGATTGTCACTCTGACAGTGACAAGCATAGATTAGCAAACGTTGGCGAAGAAATTTTCGAGGTAGCGAAATGAAGCTAAACAACGTATGTTAGCGCATTGGCAGATGGCATATGTATGCGTCAAGGAGCAAGTAAAAAAAAATTCGGTGATCTGTGACAAGCTGTATTGTCGTTTCTAGACTTAAAAAGCATATAGAAGCTTTAAGATACTATTTTTCAGGTTTCTTAGCTGAAAAATTTTAGGAGCAACGTTTCTCGTGCAATTTTAATAGATGGCGCACGAATTTTTTTTTGCAAAACTTTTGTCGTCTTTTTAGTCCACGGGCGTGAAAAAATGTTTTTCTGTTAGGCCATCATATGTATCAGCTATCCCGCTTATACCCTGTTTTTAAAATCTCGATATGGTCAGTTCACGCGGAGAGACTTTGAATCAAGAAGGATCCTTTTGTCATCCACCATTGATATGTCGGTAACCAGTGGTCGCACAGAGAATCTATTTTATATATTCTGTTTCAAAAACTAGAATAAACCTACTATAAATAAGATTTGACTGCAATCTTTGAGAATTGTTTTTTGTTTCATTTGTGTTCATTTTATAGTATTGAGAAAACTTAATGTCTGCCTTGTTTTGGAAATTTGACCTCATTTTGGGACTACCAATGAGAAGGCGTAAACGGTCGGACTGTGATCGACCGATAAAATCAAACCTGTGCTAATTAACGATAGCCCGTACACCACTACAACCGTCATAAACAGCAACGTCCTAACTTGTTTGGATGTCTCAGCAGTGCGCTGACAATTACAACAGATGAATGAGCGTCTTAAGTATGGATATTGAAAAATGAATTGGTTCTGTTTATAATAGGGCGCCCCAGTGGGACAAAAACTCAACAAATTACATTAATCGAGGTATTGGAAAACGCCTATGAGCTGAAGTTGCATTGGAAATGGATATAGCGTTTGCAAGAGTAGTGTAGTGTATGCAGACGAACAGTCGTCCGAACAGCTCCTGCGCGACATCGGCCGATAAATCGGTTTTGGTGTAGGCGTACCGTAATGTTTCAAAATTTTTCATAACTCAATGTATATCTAATACCCCTGCACGACGGCATATCGATACATTGTACGGTTTTTGCGGCCCGAAAAATTCCGAGATCCGCCTTTAAGATCCCCCCGATTCAATCCGGTTTAAAGTACGGTTTCGTTGGTGCGGCTCGAGCGGCTGCGGCTCGCGACTACGATTGGCTGCAGTCGCAGCCGCAATGTAGAGTGTTTTATTTTAGTGCGTCTCTAAATGAAAGCGATTGCGATTTAGATTGGTTTAAAAGATCTTGCTGTATGATGTGGAAGGTCTAAGTCGTAGAAAATGAATAATAGTGATCTGTTAAGTGTGATTCTCTTAGAAGAAGAGGAAGAAGATGAATGGCTACAACTGAAGTTATTAGAAAAACAAAGATGTGAAAAACACGATATATTCCAAAAACGTACAGAAGAAGGATTTTTTAGTCTACTCATAAACGGACATTTAAAAGAGGACGAAAAAAAGAGAATTTTTCCGGTTAAATCCCGAGCAATTTGATTTTGTTCTGTCACTCATACAAGAGGATATAGAAAAGCCTGGAACGAATTGTGTAAAGTTTCCAATAACAGCAGAGGAAAAGCTGGCGCTAACTTTAAGGTAGGAAAGAAAAAAATTGAGCAAAAACAAAGATACAGTTAGAACACAAAATATATTATGAGCTTAGAATACAACATATCTAACCAAAACTAACTAATGTAACTAATTTAATTGCTGGTATCGTAGTTCGTATTCCGGGTTTTGCTCCGAGGCCATGAATCCAGAAACATTTGAAATTGATGAATTCTGTTTTTCTGGGTTATAGCTTTTAAAATATGAACCAGCAGTATTATCCGACTCAGTCGCAGCCAGATGAAAAGATCCATTCTGTAGTTTATATTGACTAGTACTAGCAGTAGTATGTGACGTAGTCTCAGTCAGATTGAAAGGTCCATTTAGTTGATATTGATTTATACCCAAAGAATGTGAATTTGATCTATCGGCAGGTGAGGTTGGTTGTGAACTATGTGCTGGAGTTTGTTGAGATGAATTTTGTGTTGCTAATTTGAGCTGAAGATCGCTTACGAGTTTTAGGATACCAAGTTTTGCTTCATTCAGTTCAGCAGGTGGAAATTTTTTAACGGTGAAGCTAATGCTTTTCATGAACAAATCTACGTCATCTTCTGAATTTGAAATGTTTTTTTTTGTGGATAGATTCAAGGAGCTCCATTCGCTTCTGAGCTCTCTCTTCAAATTGAGCCATGGTATTTAGTTTTGACACTCGGGGCTGCGATCTTTTCCCACAGTTTTGTTGAAAAGGATTCTTATTCAGCCCTTTATTCAATTTCATTGCGTCTGAAGTTCGACGAGATGTGGATGGGGTTGAATATTCGTCTAGTAAATCAGAATCGTCTAATGTTGATTCATCGGTTGGTTGGATTTCGTAGTCCGTCTCGCTGTAAGCTGGAGTTTCCTCTTCTTCCGTCAAGGTATTTTTTGATTCTCGTTCATGCTTAATAACATCAAGAAAGGAAAGCCGATCGTAAAGGGTCCACTTTATTACTCGTTCAGATGCTGCTGAACCGGTCCGAAATTTACGTTTTTTTCTGTTTCTAAAATAGGTATCCTTGATGTTTCTCCATCGCCTTTTGCAATCGTCACCTACGAAAAAAAAAAACAAAACATACTTTTCAACTTACACCCTTTGAATTAGATTTAAGTCCAATTAAAGAATTTTTATTATATTGTTTTTCAAAAGATGTGCATCTCTGGAGATTGGTTATCTAAAAGAATTCAAAAATTTATTATTAGTTTTAAGGAGGGTACAATACGTTCTTCAATATTATTTTTGGGCAGGCAATCTCCAGACAGGCGTTATGATATTTTTTGGAAACATGACGGTGTCCTAAGTCTCTATGTTGTTTTAGGTATATGGCAACTGGGGAGTCTTTCAGATCTCTTAGATTTGCTTTTAGAATCTCCCACAGTTACATAAGTGTAATCATCCGAGAAACTTTATCAGCAATATGTAAACAATTGGTGCCCATTTTTATTCCAACGCCAACAAAGGAAGCATTGACCAAAAAAGCTGAAGAATTTTGGGAACGATGGGATTTTCCGAACTGTATTGGAGCCTTGGATGGCAAGCATGTTAGAATATTTGCTCCAGCAAAATCTGGATCTTTATACTTTAATTATAAAGAATACTTTTCCATTGTTATGCTTGCTTTAGTTGATGCAAATTGTAAGTTTATTGCTTTAGATGTAGGGTCGTACGGAAAAGAAGGTGACAGCTCAATATTTAATAAATCGGCTTTTGGAAAAAAAGTAATGCACTTTCAGAATTTTTTTCCGGCAGATCAAAAATTGCCTAAATCAAATAAAGTATTGCCGCATGTAATTATCGGAGATGAGGCGTTTCGTTTGGATAAACAATTAATGAAACCGTTCACTAAATTGGCAGCCACTGCTGATAAATCAAAAGCCATTTTTAATTACCGTTTGAGTAGGGCAAGAAGAGTGAGTGAAAATGCTTTTGGTTTGCTATCTCAGGTGTTCAGAGTGTTTTATACTCCTATAGCTGTAAAACCAGAGGTATGTGATGACTTGATATTAGCCGCCTGTTGTTTACATAATTTATTGCGAGAAGCATATTTGGAAAGAAAAGGGGTTCCCTACTATGAATATGATTCAAAAGAAGAAAACTCGAATGTTTTTCGGAATCTTACAGGAGCGGGGGGATATCAAAACGTTGAAGGGTTCCATGTGAGAGATGAGTTTATGAGGTTTTTCTCACAGGAAGGGATTGTCGAATGGCAAAATCAGCAGGTTTCGAAAGTATAAGACAATCTGTACATGTTAGTAATCCATTATTATGATATTACAACCTTATACTGATTTCAATGTATATTGTTATTATAAACAGGGATCACAAGAAAAACCTAATAAAAAATGTTTACATGAAAATTTGTTTTTTTATAAAAATTCCTAGAATAAAATGAGTTTCAAAATAGAACAAATAAATACGCGGTACATGGTGTTCCCAACTAGAGTGTATTCAATTTCAATCAAAGTAGGATGTAAACAAGCGATATCGGATGATTGCAGCATGCCGTGACGGCATGGCCATGTATTATTGGTTGGCAAGCAATAAATGCCCTCTATGCAGGAGGATCGAAATTTTTCAGGCCAAAATCCAAGCAACCATTTGTCTTTCCTCTCCCATATTCAATACGAGTGATAAAGGTAACTCAACCCCTTGGACAGCGCCAGTCTTTAATCGATCACCAGTCGCCGGTATTGCAGTTCCCGTGACTCGAACGTACATTATTTTGTTTACATCGAACTTTTATTGAATTTGAATAGACTATATATAAATTATTTGATGGCTATGAAACTGAGCCAAAAAAGGAAAAACAAACGTTCATAATTAGAAAATAAAGTAAATTAATGTTACTTACTGCTTTTTCCTACCGAACATGCTATTTTTTTCCAGGCATTCTCTTTGCATATAAAATTTTTGTAGTTTTCATGCTCGTAATCAAAAATAGCGGGATATTTTTGAACCTCTTCAATCTATATATCATCCTCATTTGCATTGAATTTCTCCATTTTTACTGAACGACTGCGATTTGACTGGTCCAGGAGCAGTCGAGTCGCAACTGCTGCGGCTCGATCGTAGCGGTCTGCGACTGAACGGCGTCAACCAAACCGTATATGCATAAATTGTATAAAACCAGTGCCGCGACTGTAGTCGCAGTCGTTGCTGCGACTCAATCGCAGTCGCGAGCCGCACCAACGAAACCGTACCTTTACGGGAATACTCTTACATTGTCTGTGCGACCACTGGTTACTCAGATACCAATGGTCGATGACAATCGGATCCTTTTCATTCAAAGTCGGATATCTGCGCGCCAGAAGATGTTATTATATTATAAAAAACAGGACATTGAACCTGAATAACGGGCTATCTGACCCATTGGTGGCCTAACAGAAAAAAAATGTTTAAGCCTCTGGACTTGAAAGAAAAAGGTAAAAGTTTTGCAGAAAAATTTTCTTGCGCTCACATTTAGAATTGCTTTAAACTTTTGTAGCTTCAAAATGCATTTTTTATAGTCTAGATACGACCACTTTTCACCGAATTATAGCCTGCCAAAAATCACAGAAAAATTTGGATTTCTTTCTTGCTCCCTTATTTTTTTTAGTAGTATAGATGTATGAAAGTCATGCCGGTACTTTTATTGTGACAAGGAAAAAACCGTGAAATGAACTATAGACTCTCGCACATATGGCGCATAGGCAATGAAATCCTCAAGGTCTCTACGATATATACTAAGTGACATATAAATCCGAACACCCAGTTTAAATGCTTTTATTTTAATAAAATTTTGTATAAGTACTTAATGAAGCATAATAAGTAATTGAAAAACATTTTAAAATGATTGCACTGCTTTAAAGCCCTTTGACCTTTAATAATGTGTGGATGCACCCTGATGTGCTACGCATTCTCCAACGCGCCTAGGCATGCTTCTGATCAGGTGGACAATGTCCTCCTATGGTATCTCATTCCAGGCAACCACCAACTCCTCTCGAAGTGCTTCTAGAGTCTGAGGAGGACGTTGCAAATTGAGCAATCTCCTACCCATCATATCCCAGACGTGCTCAATTGGGGATAAGTCGGGAGATCTTGGTGGCCATGGTAACAATGTGACATCATTATGTTGAAAGAAGTCTATTGTGACTCTTGCAACATGTGGTCGGGCATTATCTTGATGGAAAGTTGGATCTGCCAGGGTGTCAAGATAGGGTAAAAGATGGGGTTCTAGAACTTCGTGGATATAACGCTGCGCGTTCATGTTACCTCTGATGAAGATTAAAGGTGGCCTGGAATCATAAGCTATAGCACACCAAACCATAACTCCAACAGTGTGATGAACATGTCTTTCAACAAAAAACTGTGGATTCCTCCTTTCACCACGTCGCCTTCTAACCCTGGCACGACCATCGTGCATGCCTAAACAAAATCGAGAGTCGTCACTAAAGACAATACTGTTCCATTCCTGATCCCAGAGTGACCGTTGTCTGCACCACTCAAGGCGATTACGTCGGTGTTCTCGAGTTAAAGGGAGCACCCAGTTTGGCCGGTATGAAAACAAGCCAAAACTTCTCATTCGTCGGTAAACACTTCGCATGCCAATAGGTCTTCCGTGTTCTGCAAACCATTCATTTGCAATGGACCTGGTAGTGGAGAAACGGTCCCTTAAGGCCAGTAATCTTAGGCGGCGATCTTCACGGTCTGTTGTTCTACGGCGGCGTCCAGTGCCCCTTGCTCCTTGCGTACGGCCTTCTCGAAGCCATGCCTGACAACACCTAACCATAGTGTCTACACTTCTTTGCACTCTAACTGCAACTGCCCGAAAAGAAAGTCCAGCTTCCAGAAGTCCCACTATACGGCCCCTAGCAAACTCACTAAGTTGACGAAATCGTACAGGTCTCCGTACTCTAGGCATCGTAACCGATCGTAAAGGATGTCAAGAACCAAAATCCGCCAACTTTGATTCTTTACTGCGGCTGAAATATTCATTTTTAGAGCGTCAGTGAATTAAAAAAAAGCAGTATAAAAACCGGAATGTCCAAATGATAAGGCTGAAAATTTTTTCACTTGTTATTTACAGTAAGATAAATACATTCACCAACTTTTATTAAAATAAAACCGTTTAAACTGGGTGTTCGGATTTATATGTCACTTAGAATACTTTATGGAATATCACACGATATTCAGGTAACCATTTGAAAGTGAGATTTCCACAATCAAGATCGGTGCATAGATAAGTCTTCAACACCTTGTACACATGTAAATCCATTATTTGTGTATAGTATCGGACCTAATGCCCTCTGCTTTTCAAAATCGTATACCTTGTAAAAATAACCCAACTTAACATAGAGGGCCAAATCCGTTGTTTTATGGGTGTATCCATACCTCTTGCAGCCAAGTATTTATTTTCAACATCTCATGAAATAAATCACAAAAACAGACGTCCGAATAAAGAATGTCTGGCATATTTCACTACTTCTTCATCTCCCTTTCTACCTTTCCGTTTCCTGGCGAAGTTCTCGAAACTTTTCCGATTTTCGTGAGTTTGCTCGTTAAAATATGCATCATGGCATTGATTACCTTTCACAACAAAAACAACAAGAATCGTTTAAATCAGGGTTTTAAATTAAATATCAGCCAACTGTTCCCGACTAGCCTACGTTGTGACTTATATGCCAGTTACTGTATTAAATAAATGTGAAAACAAATTAAGTTATTCAAGGTTTTTTGGATGGTTCAAATAGCTGATACATTATTGCCAGGTTTCTTCTAGACTAGAAGGCTTAAAATTGCATATACCGGGTGAGAATGAAAATTGTATTATATTTTTTTTGCCAAATAAAGATATCGCTCCAAGATTGGGACATGTTTAGTCGAGGTGGCGATGTATCAAAATAAAAAATATCATTTCAGGAAAAGTAATAAAAAAATGTTTTTATTTTATATTTTATAATAACAGACTATCACTCAGAGTGAACATATGCGAAAACATTTATCTCCGCTTCTTCACTGAGTACGAAAGACTTCTCTTTATCACCATTGACATCCTCATTTCTACTCTTTGCCTGTAACTTGAAAACCATTAACAACTTGGATTGGATGTCTTCTATAAGGATATCGCTGAGCGTACAACGTACTCGTACAAGCATTTCTAGATTTTTTTCTGCATTCACCGAATATTAATAGCATATCAACTTTCGTTTCTTGCAAAATTCTTAATAAAAAATACTGTAGCTGTACCTTCTATGGAGTAGGAATAAGTGAAAATAAGTTTAAGTGTAACGAAGATTGCCAAAGGTCAAATAACTAAACAATAATTGGTACGCTATTAATTAACTTTCATTTGTTTTCCACAACCTACTATTCCTTTCAAATAAATGATATTTGAAAACAACCTAAATTTTCATAGTCTCCTTACCTACTAGAGGGTCCTATTTAAAATCTATCAGAAATCCTCTGTTGGAGATGTGGATTCCTGATTTTTTTTAAACATAAGTATACATGGAAGACACATAAATACAAGCTTTTATTTATTTAGCCCATTTTAATAGATATTTGTTGATCACGCCACCTTGACAGTTTAAAATATTTTTTTGTCTCATAAGCCATATGACAGATTTTAGGTTATTGACAAATTCCTTTATAGCGCCCCCATTTTAAAACAAAAATATCACTTGTGAACATCGTTGGAAAGGGAATTCTGCATAGAGTACGATTATGGAAAAAATATACAGGTTTCCATTTGAAAAACGAAAGTCCTGGTCACTACTGGTTAAAACGGAAGGGAGGGATAACCTACTCGACCCTCCAGAAATGCCTCTTAATGACTAACAAAACATGTCACAATCTTGGAGCGATTATATGCCAAAAAAATACAGCGTGTTTCCAATTTTCATTGTCTCTTGGTATTATGAGCGCAGAAATTGGCCTTTAGCGAAATGTACTTTACACGATAATTGTGAATTTTTGAACGAAGTATTCAATGTTATTCATGTATTTCTATCAGACAGCGCGATAGCTTTGTGGTAGATGCTACGTGTCTACTAATCAGTTACCGTGAGCTGCGCGGGTCCGAATCCTGTCCCAAAAGAATATTTCTCTCGGCCGTGGATGTCTTCGTTGTCCGTAGGTTCCACTGGGCAGATCTGTAAGGCAGAAAGTAGCATACACACATGTTCCCTCGCTAGAAACTTTGTGATGTCCCTCTTTTTCCCCTGAATCCCTCTATAGCCCCACGGTACCCCCGGGTATTAAGGCCTTCAAGATGATTCAAATATAAAAAAATGGTGTAGAAAGCTACATCTCTCTCGGCAAGGGTGCAGTTCAGAAGCAATGTTGTAATTTTTCGTTATATTTTTTAGTGAACATTTAGCTACAAAAAGATTACCACTTTGGCTGAGTGAATGCGATTCAACTTTTTTTTTAGATGACATTTAGATAATAATAATAATAATAAATAATAAAATGTCTTTATTAGGCACATTATATACACTACAACATAATGTGACCTCTACGTAGGCGAAGTCTAGCTCTTGGCTACTCTACTTAACCTACCCAAATACTAAATTGAAACACTCAATCAAAGGAAACTTTGACAAGCAAAAGACGCTTCAAAACAACGAGCTTGATAGCTTCCTGGCATACATATATACACACATATATTACGTAAAATAAAATTAAATGTAAGAATTAAAAACTAACTTTTCCACAATTACTACAATGACAAATAAATCTGTTTCACATGCTTACGAAATCTGTTTACTGGCCAATCCTTTATATTGTCATCTAATTCGTTATAAATCAGGATAGCATTGTAAGTGTATGAACTACGAAATAAAGTTGTTTTATACATAGGGATCTCTAGTCTTTTTTTGTGTCTGAAATCAATGTCTGAATTATTTCGTCTGAAAACAAATTTCTCATAAAGATACAAGGGGGATCTAGAAGATATGATCTTATGTGTAAACACTGCTATATGGTACTTGCAAGCATTTTCTATACACATCCAACCAAGCTGAAATCTCTTTAAGGAAACATGATCATACTTCTTGAGATTAAATACAAATCGACAACAAGTATTTTGGAGTTTTTGGAGTCTTGCTTTTGTGATAGAATCAAGACAATGATAGAACACAGTGCTACAGTAAAATAAGCTTGGAAATATAATAGCCTCACATAACTTTTTTCTAACTTTAAAATTCAAAATAGAGCGATTGACATAAAAACACTTCAACGTTGCATAACATTTTTTTAAGATAGACGAAACATGCTCCTTAAACCGTAAAGTATAATCAATAATCAACCCTAAATTTTTTGTAGTATTTACGACAGCTAGACGCTCCTTGTCGATTTTTACATCAAGAGAATTCAATACAGTGTTACGTTTGACAGCAGGACAAAAAAGCATCACTGAGCACTTATCCTTATTGAGCTTAAGATTATTACCATTTGAGTATCCTACTATTGCCTCCAAATCATCATTAAGCTCATTGATTGAAGTATGCAAAGTGTTACTATTAAAGCTTTTATATATCTGTGTATCATCGGCATAGCACATCACAGAAGAGTTTTTCACAGAGCTACCCAAGTCTATAGTATAAATTAAGTACAACAAGGGCCCTAAAACTGAACCCTGAGGGACACCTGATGTTATATCAATCGGACTAGATATAGTGTTGTCTATCTCTACTACTTGTTTACGATTTGAAAGATATGTTATAAAAAACATTAGAGGTATGTCTGAAAAACCAAAAAACTTCAATTTAGCACATAAAAGCTCATGATCTATTTTATCGAACGCCTTAGAATAATCTAATGATACAAGTGCCGAAGCATCTCCCTTATCAAGCGAAGCAATGATGTCATCTAAAACCCTTGCTAAAGCTGAAGTTGTACTAAAACCACTGCGGAAACCAGATTGACACTTGGGAAAGAAATCATTATTAGAGAAATAATGATAAACCTGATGTTTAATCAATTTCTCCAATATCTTCGATATAACAGGAATCAAAGTTATAGGTCTTAAGTCTGAGAGACATTTTGGATTTTTACATTTAGGCAAGGGTTTGACAAGAGATAGTTTCCAAGCATCAGGGAAATACCCAGCCTCCAGGCAACAGTTCAATAAATGCGTCAGGGGTAGTAATACTCGAGGCAAGCAAAGCTTCAGCATTGAGACTGTTATACCATCCGAACCTGCTGCATTAGATTTTAGGGACAGAATAATGTCTAGCACATTTTGTGGGGTAGCAAAACTAAATTCAAATCTAGCACTTTCATTAATTTTGGTACTATTAAATTTATCAACTAGATCCTTGCAATTGCCCGAAGGCGTGAAAACGGAAGAAAAATAATTGTTTACTTCATCGGCATTCTTCAACTGTGTTGGTAAAGATCTATCTACATTAGTTTTGAGTTTCAATGAATGTACAGCTTTCCAGAGATGCTTGTTACTATTTAGTTGTTCATTGAAGCTTAGATATGCTGCTTTCTCCCGCCTAATAGCGGAAATGACATCATTTCTTAATTTCTGGTAATATTCGAGACTAGCTGGACTTTTTAAAATCTGATATTTTCTAAAGGCTTTATTTCTCTCGGAGATCAAAAATTTTATGCCACCTGTGAGCCATGGAGCATAAGGTTTAGTAATACGTGATGAAATAACAGGAGCTTGGACATCAAACAAATCCAAAATATGATTAGAAAAAAACGTAGCTTTATCCTCTAAGTTAGTGATGTAATATATATCGTCCCATGGGATTTTATACAAATCCACCAAAAACTGATCTTTACAACAGTGTTTAAAATCTCTATATTTGACAGTCTTTTGAAAATTCTTAGGCCGTGTGATGTTGAAGTCACATCTGACTACATTATGATCTGACAAATTCGGAACAGGTACAGAGCTAGTTGAAATTAATGATTCAGCTAAGTTATTTGTTGTACAAATGACATCTATGGAGGTTGCCGTGGTTAAAGTTATCCTAGTTGGTTGGGTGATGTGAGATACCATATCGTAGCACGCAATGCAATCTAGAAAAGAATGGTCAGTAATTTGATCAACGTTTATATCACCCAGCAAGCATATATTATCATACTGAGGAGACACAAATGAGAGAAAGTTGTCTATATGATCAATAAAACTTGATAATCTGCTCGAAGGAGCTCTGTAGATAACACAAACCAAAATTCTTAGATTATTCAACACTATTTCAGCACAAACCTGCTCCATACCATCTGGACATAAAAAATCTTGCAATACCAGCTTACCTCTCAGTGAATCCCTTAAATAAACACCAACTCCTCCTCCACGTTCTACTCGATCAGTATGGACAAAAGTGTACTCAGGAATATTTACTATATCTGCTGTAAAATCATTATTAATCCATGTTTCGGAGATACCCATAATATCATAGTTATCAGTAGTCAACAAATCTACAAAGGAATCAAAGCCAGCAAACAGAGATCTTACATTCAGATGTCCAACAACAAAATGGTTATAAGTTTTTGTGCAATTATTCATAAGCAATCTGCATTTTCAAATTATCGATCTTCATTTTGTAATAACTGCAAGAGGTATCACTTGCAACATGCTTTGTACACCAGTTAGTTTTATATCTATCATTATGAAACTTACAGTTAGGACAACAAGAATCATCAGCTTTACAATCTCTAAATTCATGAAAACCTGAGCACTTAGAACAGACAACATCCTTGCTTCGGCAATCTTTCTTACCATGACCAAATTTACAACATTTGTAACAACGTAGCAAATATAAATTTTCCCTGACAGTACATTTCACCCAGCCAATAAAAACAAACCCTTTGCTACTAAGTAAATTAAACACAGAAGGAACCACCTCGATAACAACATTTTTTGTATTTTTAACCTTATAGCAACTAATTATTTTTATATCATCTGAATTAACACCTAAATTGTTATTGAATATTAAATCGTCAACAAAACTATATATAGATAAATTGAGCAATTTCGGACAATGGTTCCTTACAATACGATTGAGAAACTAGGTATCATAACTCACGAGATTTTACTGAACACAATTTTTTTAACTCTCATTGTTGTCACAAAACCTCTTTAAGAGATCCTTGCTAAATATAAATTTGGTATCTCAGCGAGAATAGTCTTGCG